AGGAGTAGGCTGGGCGCTGAGCGCCAAGTGTGAGTGTAAGGGAACTGGACTCTTTTGTTGAGAGGAGAGAGTGTGCTCTCCACGGACATTGGTTTTCAGTGCTACGAGACTCCACTGGTGTATTATTGGTGCAATGCTGCTATCTGGACACGGTGTGACTATTTGGCTTGCAATGTGATGGTGTGATTTGGGATTGTCATTTCGCTGTTGCTTATTTTCCTTGCAGTTTCCTTAGATCGAAAAAATTATAGATTTATATAGTGCAAGTGTGCTGCTTCTGCGGCAGACGGGTCTGTGGGCACATCCCGCTCAACCACACATATGTGGGGAATCTTGCGTTTTCTATTACATTGCCCGTTTATACTTCTTTTGTTTTATGGATGGTTTGTGATGGCTTGTAAAATGAATGAGAGAGAGAGTCTGGGGTTGCTTGACAACACACACACACATCTCATCCCCGTTGTCATCTTCTGTGTGTTTGTGTGGTATAGTACCTCCACGACTGTGGTGCAGCATGCCGCGTCGAAAGGTATAGACAAAAATTTGAAACGAGTTTGCATCCAGGAATGCCCACCAAACGAACACAGCGATGTCATGCTCTGAAATGCCGTATATCAAAAAGCCTAATACAAACCGTAGCCAGCTGAACAGCTGCGAGGCGAAGGGAAGCAAGGCCAGCACAGAACGTCAAAAGAAAGGTGGCAAGGCAAATGTCATGAGGCAACAAGACATTAAACAGCCAAGCAGCAGCAAGGGACATAGTTTGGAGGGCACAGGAGAGGCGGGTGGGCAGACAAACAAGGAGGGAATAAGGAAGGTGCACGGGGGAGGAGCCAGCAACCGCAAAAGAGATAGCCTATGTCTGTCTGCCTTTGTGCATTCCCCATGCCCTTCACCCTCTTTTTTTCTTTTCTTTTTGAAGACTGATAATGAAAGCTTGTTTTGTCAGAGTCGCACCGTCCCACCAGGAGGCTGAACCCTCACCATCTGCGGAATCCCCATATTGCTGCTTGCAGTCATGCACCCTTTGACCCTCGTTGAAAGCAGACTGCCAGCACGCAACATTGCAAGCAGATCATAACAGCAGGCAACAACTCAGCGAAGCACCAGGCAACACTGCGGGGCCAACCCAACTGCAAAGTGTCAAAGCTAACTGCATGGACTGACAGCGCAAGCGGACTGGTAGCAAAACAAGAGCACAGTGAAGCACACAGCTGTGCTGCATCAGCTTCAAAACTGCATGCCATACATGCAAAATGCACGGGAAGACAAAGCACGCAGATGGGCAGCAAGGCATTGGCTGCAAAACAAGACACAGAAAGCAAGCACGATGGGTAGCAAGGCAGCTGCGGAGCATAGACAAGGCAGTCCATACATCCAACACGGAGCAAAACCATCCAGGACTTACTCCCAGCACAAGTGGAACCCCGCAGACTGTTGGTTCCCTTCACTTGCTGAGCCAGGAAGTGATGCCGATGGACATCCACCATCACCTATAGACCATACGCACCACAGAAATCGCAGACAGAGCGGTTCCCCGCAGAGTTCTGCAGGCACTCAGAACAGCCAACCACCGACTTTTTAGCACTTCTTGAAGGTGCTCACCTACACACAGAAAGTACCAGAAAAAATCAAAAGAATAGAAATGCATACATACATGTCCAGGTAGACATGGTGGGAATGGGGTGAGTAAGTAACATGCAGCCAGAAGGGCTGGAAGGGAACCCCTACCCCCGTGCCTTGACCCCTTGGGGATTATCCTGCACCGTGCCTGGATGCTACTAGTAAGCCTCCCGACTTGCAGGACGATCCCCAAGGATTGGCCGCAGGATGGGAGCAGGTGGCGCTGAAGCAACCCCCCCTTGAGCAGGCGGATCGAATCACAGTGGTGGGTTGACTCTCTATTCTATCTAATCTTCCCTGCTGCTCGTTTCAAAAACTTTGCTTGCCGGTGATGAGCAACCGGACTGACGCCCCGCAGAATAGAAGGGGCTGGGAGAGTTAAAAAAAAAAAAAAAGTGTGTGTCTGTGTGCGCGTGCGCTTGGATGTATGCATTTGCACTCGTGTCTATGGCAGCATAGGCAAAGTGTCTTGAGAACACCACAGCTTATATGGGCACTTTGCCCATGTGTGTCACCAAAATTTCTTAATCTTTTGAAGCAGACGGTTTTGTGCTGCTCTGTGATTCGGCCCCAAAAGCTCGAAGTCTTTCAACAGCAAATGTGAATGGCCTTGGAACAGGCCACACCTAATAAGGGCCTGTGACCTTATGTGCTGCACTGTGAATTGAAATGCCCCTATAGGTCCAGTATTTTTTTTCACCAGGCCACCAGTGCACGGATAAAATTAAATGGTAGAAATGGATAAATCATGCAAGCAGTTTGTTCCCAACTGGTTAAGAGAACTTAAGACCATTGGAATTTCAAATTTGTGTCCAGCAAAGTTCACGACACATCCACTTTCCGTCCCTTATACAGTACGTAGAACTTCATTGTGCCTGAAATCCAGCTTGGCCGAGCTTCAAATGTCAAGCAGACA